AACTTTAAATATCTCCCTATCTTGCACGAATGGAAATTTGATAAACTTTTCGAACTTGAACCCATTGTCTATCATCAACTTGTTCGTATCTTCTACTGTAATGCTGTTTGTATCAAAAATCGTGACAAAACCAAAACCATAGGAGTGCGTTCCTACCTCCTAGGTCAATATTTCCATCTTGATCCGGATTACATAGCCAATGCCTTAGGCTTGGATAATGAAGGTTTATCAAACGAAAAACAAGTTTTAGGCTCACGATATAAACGGAATGATAGTGCAAGTGTTTTAGATCTTCATGAGCGTTTTCTTCATCTTATGATCACTTGGTGGTTTCGACCATCCGGGGGTCGTTATTCTACTCTTAGAGCTTTAGACCTTTGGTGGTTGCATTGTTTTGAAAACAATATAAAAATAAACCTTTCCGAGATTATCTTTGCTGAGATCGTTGAAACCGTTAACTTAGTGCCAAATAAGAAACTCTGTTCTTCACTAGTTTACGGTTGTATCCTTAGTAATCTCTTTTCTAAAGCCGAACTCCGAGTTGGTCTAGATGCCTCATTTCCTCTTAAGAAACAAATCAATCTTCTTTCTTTAACAAGAGCGGGATGTGTCAAAAATAAGGAAACCGGTGCATGGGTTCGATCTTCTACTCCGGGAGCTAGTTCTTCACAAGCTCCACCCGAAGCTGAAGAAGATCCCGAGTTTGAACAATTAATGAGGGATATCGATGAAGCTGAAGAAGAACCTGAACAACCCGAGGTGCAAGCACAACAAACGCATCAAATGCCTCCATATTTTCAATCCTTTATGGAGACATTCGATTTCCGATACGCTACCATGGACTCGCGCTTTACCTCTATAGAGTCTCATTTATCCACAATGAGAGCTCAACAATTAGAGATTCTTCGGGAGATGCGTGCAAACAATGAATCAACCAACGCTCGTATCAATGATCTCACACACGAGATGGCCGCTATGCGAGCCCGTTTTCCTCCTACCGATCCGGATGTTTGATTATGTGTTTAGTTTTAAAACTTTGAAAAAAAAGAATATTGTTTCAACATTTTGGATATTTTGGATTGTTTGATTTTGTGGATTGTTGGATTTTGGATTTATGAATGGTGTGAACTTATATGTTTGGTGTTTTATTCATTTTTGCATCATTTACATCATCATTAGCAATATGACCAATTTTGCCATATCACATTATTTATGAATATTGATTTATGAAACTAATGGCTAACCTCTCTTTTGATTGTGATCTTAGCAGCTTAAGCTTATAATTAATAAATCAGTTGGTTAAATGATTTCAAAACTTTGTTTTACAATGTCTTTTTGGTTTAACAAAAAGGGGGAGAAGAATAAGTGTTAAATGTTTTACTTGATAAATTGAAGAAGTGTTAAAGTAAGGGGGAGTAATTTCAAAACTTGATTTCAAAAATCTTAAAATTACTAAAATGTTTTGTTATATCAAAAAGGGGGAGATTGTTGAAACATTTTGATATTTCGATATAACAAATTAAGTTAAATGGATTTTAAGATTTTCCAAATGATTTTCTAAGTATATTCGATATAACTATTCGAATATCAAAACATTACTCCAAATATTTCAAAAATCATTTTTAATCCTTACTTAAGTGTAAAATTAAGTTTTAATCATAAAACAATTTCAAAATAATTTTACAAAGTATTTCGAACCAATTCAAAGCCAAAAATTCCAGATTGCTCAGAAGGAACCGATTCCCCCCCATAGGAGGAACCGATTCCCCCCTGAATGGTTTGGCTCCGAGATTTCCAGAATGCTCGGAGGGAACCGATTCCCCCATATGAGGAACCGATTCCCCCCTAAACAGTTTTGTTCCGAGAATTCCAGTATGCTCGGAGGGAACCGATCCCCCCCAAGGGGGTACCGATTCCCCCTTGTACAACGGTCGAAATATTTGAATTTTACACTTAGGAACCGATTCCCTTCAAGGGGGAACCGATTCCCCCCCACACACCAAGCTGTTTTATTAAATGTTTTCACACTAAAACGGCTATAATATCTTCTCTAATCATCCCCAACGTTCAGAAGTGATCCAAGGTGTATTTAAGCAAGCTTAGAAGCCATTGATCAATAACAAGAAACATCAAGCAACTAGAATCAAGAGAGAATCAAAGAGAAAGCATCAAACCTCAAGTTTGAGCATTTCAAGCCTATTTTCATTCAATATTCATTTTGCTTTCAAGAACACTTTTTTTGTGCTCAATTGTATTCATCTTTGAGTGTTCTTTTCTTTGTTCTAGAATTGTGCAAACATCTTACCTTGTGAGGTTTTCTTGTAAGTTTGCAAATTTGTAATCTTCTCTTTGAGAAAAGAGTGTTCTCAAGAGTTGGGGTATACTCTTGAGGGAATTGTAAGGTTATCTCTTTGGCCTCAAAAGAAAGAACAAATTAGTGAATTTGTTGGAAAATCCTTAGTGTGGATAGCTAAGGTAGTGGACGTAGACTTTGTTTGAGAAAGTCGAACCACTGTAAATCGATGTGCAATTACTTTCAATTTTCTGCAAAAGCTTCCACAAAATTTTTATTGCCAATTCACCCCCTCTTGGCCAATTTTGTCATTCGATTAACTCAACATAATTGGACTGCTTAGCGTTGTACTATTCTTTTTCCTTATCACTTCATTTTCAATTTTCTTTTGCAGATATACAAGGAGAAAATAACAGATTTATTGGATCCAAATCAAAGAAACCTGCAGGTAGAATGGATTTTGTGCTATAATTTTGGGAAGGGGTCGGGAACAGCTGGTGCATCTGATGTTCCTACTATTTCAGTTGAAGCCAATGCTCATTCGCAACCTGTTTCAAGAGTTCTCGACTCTGAAGAAGCAACTTCAAAATTGTAGAAGAAGCTAGAGGAGTTGCATCTAAGATCTTATAATCTGTTAGTATCTTCTTGTGATAATCTGAAAACATTCTTGGTTTTTTGTTTTCAAATAGTCATAGGCGATGAATATTATGTTTGTAACTTAATGTGAATATATTGTATGCAAATGGATTGCTTATATATAATATGATATATATATTTAGTATTATGAGGCATTAAATGTGATTTAGTTTGATTATTTGTCAATCTACAATATATATATATATATATTATATATATAACAATAATTTACGAAATACAATCACGACACACGAATGTGTGTCATCTTTTTTAATGGTGTGTGCTTCAATGACACGCAATGTAAGTCATACATGCGTATCATAAATTTATGACACACAAATGTGTGTCATCTTAATTTATAACGGGGGCTTCAATGACGCTCAATGAACGTCATAAATGCGCGTCATAAATGTGTGCCATAAATGTATGTCATAAATGCGCGTCATAAATTTATGACGCACAGTTGCGCGTCATCTTAAATTCATGTCGGTGGCTTCAACGACAGGCAAATGTGTGCCATCCGCACCCATAGATAACGCGCAATGCGCATCATTAAAGGGGTTTTTCTACTAGTGAGCAGTCAATCTACATGGAGAAAGAACATCAAGAGAATTTTTTTAAAACTTAGATCTTTATTGTATCTATCAAAAAGTACGTAATATATTCGTAGACCAATAAATTAGCTAATTCATAAATCAAATAAATTTTAAAGATATTTTTCAATCAATCATTTAATATATATGACTTAATACAAATATTATCTAACTTAAACTCGAAAAATTCAAATCCTAATTCAATCTAAACTAAATATAATCTTTTCTCAAAGGCCCTAAACCATTTAAATAAAAATGAAGCAAATAAATTCTTCAAATTTTATCCAAAGTCTCAATTTAGACTTGTATTTAATTTCTCGCGTGTGCAATTTTATCTTGAAATTTCATAATTTAAGTTACCAACGTCTGATTGATGCATTTCAAGAAGTGTTGAAATACTATGAAATAGTTATACAATTTATAAAAATGACTTTTCAACCCTATATCCCATCTAAAATATACATCACATGCTGGTTGAAGTTTATGCTTACAAAAATAACCTCCTTAAAATATTGAAATGAATTAAGTTTGTCACTTCGATACCAACTATAATCAATTTGTTATTAGTAACAAAGATAATAAAATAATTTTACTCAAATCACCTTCAATAAACTTATAATTATCAATAATAATTCTTTCTTTCAATAACTTTTATCTAATAACATGAATTGTGTAAAAAATGAAATAAATTAATCAACTTTGAAAAGAAACATTGTAGAAAAAAGTGTTTTTTTACCCTAGGTGTTTCTCTCTTTTTTTTCTTTAGAATTTGAACCATATAGATAAGATTTTTTTTAGGTTTAGTCGACAACAGTATCGGTTGTGATGTTGGTTTTCGACCACTGGTTTTCTTCTCTCTTTGTTTCTTTTTAGTTTTTAATAAGAATAATTTTATCTATGTGACATGTTTTTCTTTGTTTTTATGACACATTTTCCGTCTTCTTTCTCGGTCGTTTGATTGTTCTTTGTTTCTTTGTTTTTATGACGTTTATTTATAATCTTGATGATCTTCCATGCTATAGACTGTCGGATTGAGTTTGAATACGCGATTTTGCGTCAGTGGATAGTTTCTCACGACGCTCAATTCTTATTTTTAATTTTCGGTGATCTTTTAATAGTTTAATTTCTTTTTGTAGTTTATTTATCGATACAATCAGATTTGTTTATATTTATTTTTTATTAGTCTTTTGGTTGGATTTTTAACAGTTTCCATGTATGGTCCTATATCCTTATATGATCTAAAATTATTAGTTTCAATGCCACAAAATATTCAAATTATATATTTAATTAACGGTGATAGTTGTAAACTCTAATAAGACTAGCGGTTTTTATTATAAAAAAATTGTAGAAAAAGATAGCAAACTAATCATCAATACGAGACCATTAGATTTTGCTATGAGCCCAATCCATCATCAAGGTTAGCCTGAATTGGCCCTAAGAAAGCGTTATCCTTTTATATTTTGAGAAGATGAAAGCTGTTCAGATAGCCCCATTGGCTAAGTTAATAGCTCAATTCTCAAACACTCTTTATAGTTTCCTTTTGAGGTGATTTCCTCCACGCAAAGGGAAAAAAGCTCTTAAAATCTCCTGTTTTCTACCCCTCTGTAAAGGTACCAAACGCTTACCTTTATTTCACTTGGGTACGGATAGCCCTTTGGACTTTTTCATCTGATTTTGATTAGTAGACCCTTTTTTGTTTTCGATTTATTTCTTATGTTTCTTGCTTAAAAATCAAGTGTTTGCCGACAAATAATATCAGGGTAATTGTTTCTTTTATAATGTCTTCTTCCAGTTCTTGAATTATTGATTTCTCAATCCGATTCTATCTGATCTGAATCGGCTTGTTTGTTCATAATCTCTTAGTGGGTATTTCAGATTTTGTTTCCTTTTTAGTGCTGGGTTTACTCTGATTTACCTTGCAATCTAATGTTTTGCTGGTTTTGGTATAGTTTTACTTCAGAGCTAATTGATTAGTAGCTTTTATTTTTTAAGTATATTTCTATGTTATTAGTTTTATCTGCTTGATATTGTAGGGGCTCTACATTATTGATTGTATTTCTGATGTGGGTTTGCCATTATTTCTGCTAGGAACTTGTTTTTATTCAATTTTGGATCTAAAACTATTTTCTTTCTCCATTCTACATGCTGGTGAAAAGCTCCTTCCTTTTTATCATTTTCAAATGATCTTATTTTGAATGTAGTTTGTGTAGCTTTAACTTCATCATATATTTGATATTATGGCAACGTGATTCTTTCAATCAATTATAAGTGCAGGTTTCGGTATTTAGTTACATCTTATAGCGGCCTTAGCATTTTTGTTGTAGACCATTAAGCTAACAATTTGGTTTTTGAAAATTGCAATCTTCTCAGGCTTGCACATTAATATTAAGAATTTTGATTACTTAAGCTAAGTCGCTCCTAGCAAAACAAACTTATATTTTGTCAGTCCTTTATGCTTTTGTCCATGTTTCTCTCTATTCATGTTTTTGGATAGTGTTGTCGTACTTGGAGACATGCCAACCACTACGTTAAAATTGTGTAGGTTGATAGATATTTATAAGAAGAAATAAATTTCTTACAAAAATAGATGTAATGTCTTTTGTTGTCCAAGTAATGGTTGAAGTTCTCAGCTTTGCAAGTATTTGTTAACAATTATCCCCTGCACAACTTAGTGAACTAAAGTTGCAAAGATTTGTAATGCTGAATCCCAATTCCTTTTAATTAATAGTGATTGTAGGGTTATAAACATTTATAACTTTTTTATCACAAAGAAATTATTCAAGAACAACGGAGTTTGATTTCAGATTTTGTTAGCACATCAAGTGTAATTACTACGAAATTGATTGAGATGTTTTTAATTTGTTGTTTCAATATGACTAAATCAGAATTTATGACCCTTCAATTTTCAAAAAGCATTCTGCACTAGTATAGTATGGTAATAATAATCACTGAATGATATATTGATACTTTATGTCCTGTTATTTCTCTCTTTTATTTATAGGACTGGATGTTCAGTTTTATCAAATTAATGAAATCTTCCCTTTACCCCCTTTTTCAATCAAATTGGATACATATTATTGAGGTTAAATTCATATTTGTAGCTAGAATGATGTTTTATTTTTCTTTCTTATGTATAATGTATTCAATTATATCACGTTAACAAATGTTCTAAACTGTAAACGTGAAGGGGAGTAGTGATCTTTATAAATTATCATCACAATTGCAAGTTCCCAAGTTTTTTTTTGGCTGAAATATGAAGTTAGCGATCCTCCAATTTACCTTGGATCCCTTATGCTGACTAACTAGTAGACTTGTCCAGGGTTTCCTTTGTTTGCCTTATGATATCTATCACTGTACAGTGTATAAATATTTTTTTTTTCAAGACAAACAACTAACTGACTAATTCATCAAGGTAGCTGTTGCCATACATGGTTTTGACCCTAAGCCATAAAACTGATCATTGTGTTGTAGCTTAGGATGTAAATCACAAATAAAGGGACCAGCTGCAATTATGCATGTCCTATTGGTTGAGTCAGTTATTTGGGTATTTTGGATATGTTAAATGGAGATTTTGACCATTAATCATGTCTTACAGAATAGCTGAAAATGGAAACTCTGATGTTAGGCAGTTGATGTCTTGGTCAATATAAATTTTCTTTTTTAGCTAGAAACTTAAACTTATGACCATTTTAGTTGAGTCACTTTTTAAGCTTATACTATCATTGTTCTCTTCAGATCAAGGATCTGTTGAAGTTATTAAGATTAATCCGAAGTGAACTCTGGATGCCATTAAGGCTTTGACCTAAATCTTTTAATTTTTTGGGTGCTTCATTGCCTTCTCCCTTATATCCCTGCTCTTCTATGAATCCAAATCTTTCTCTTTGCTGTAGAAATTCCATATTTGCGTTGTGATGATCTGACATGTAGCCATTGTATCATAATGATGGTATTCTAATTATCAAGAGGATCGTTTTTTTTCCTTAACTTGTATAAAAGGGTTGTATGTGTTCCTGTTATGACAGATAGCTAAATTGATTACTTTCAGGAGATAAGATGTAGCCTTCTCTTATTATTTGTAATCCTTGGATTTTTTTTTCTTTGCACTGCTTTCTCTCTTTCTTATTGTGAATTTTAATAGCTTATATTCCCTTGTTGAATATTGTATGCAGGCGCTTGCTCCTTGTGATTCATTAGAGGCATTAACTTATCTGTATTGCCATTTCTTTACCTCTCCAATTATATATGGGCTGAGGTGCACCTTTCATGGGAGGTGTAGAGGATAATGAACCAGCCTCAAAACGTATGAAACTATCCTCTGAAGAACTGAGACGTCTTTCCAACGGTTCAACTATTACAGAGACTGTAGCTGGGTCTTTAGGTGACCTAATGGCTCGGCCCCTGCAGTCTGAAGGGGGTGAAGAAGTTGTTGGCTCGAAAGGTGTTATAAAGAAGGTAGAATTTGTCCGAATAATAGCAAAAGCGTTATATTCTCTTGGTTATATAAAGAGTGGTGCTCATCTAGAGGAAGAGTCAGGGATACCATTATATTCTTCTGTGGTCAATGAATTTATGCGGCAAATTCTTGAGGGAAATTGGGATGAAAGTGTTGTTACATTGCGTAATATTGGTCTGACTGATGAAAAGACCATAAAATCAGCCTCTTTTCTGATATTGGAACATAAGTTTTTGGAACTTTTGGATGAAGAAAAGGTAATGGATGCCCTGAAAACATTGAGGACTGAGATTGCACCTCTTAGTGTCAATAATAGTAGAGTACGTGAGCTTTCTTCATACATCGTGTCACCATCTTACTGTTCTTCTGTTCGGTCTCCGAAACAAGATACATTGAGGGCAAGATCCCGGAGTAAACTATTGGAAGAATTACAGAAGCTGCTTCCTCCTAAAGTTATGATCCCGGAAGGAAGGTTGGAGCATTTAGTTGAACAGGCCCTTGTATTGCAACGAGATGCTTGCATGTTTCACAACTCATTGGATAAGGAAATGTCACTATATTCTGATCATCAGTGTGGGAGAGATCAAATTCCTTCTCAAGCATTGCAGGTTTGATTCTGTTCTGCTAATCAGATTTTCTTTTTCTTTATCTTTTCTTAAAATATGGCAAAATTCTTAGTCTTTTTACATTTTATTGATACAAATTTTCTTGTGTATTACATAACAAATTGTACAATACGCATTCTTTTTCATTTTTGTGTAGATTGGATATGTATTTTAAGTTTTTGCTTGATCAATATGGATACTAGGTTTTAATCTTTTTTTGGTTCAGGAATGGGATAACCGTATTAGGTATTTGGTTATTAGTTAGGGTTTTGATTACCTTTTTGGAGGGACAATTTCTTTGTTTGATGCCATCTTGAGGCATTCTCTACTGTCCGTATTTACACTAATCTCGAAAGTTTGTTGAAGGGACTGTTAGAATCTGAAATTGGCAATGTAAGACCAACATTAAGTAACGAAAGAGGAACAATTTTGTGTTTTCAGGGGCCTCACCTTTTATAGAGATGATGTGAAGGGAAAAAGATCTTACATTGATGAATTCATAGAGATACTCATAGAATAAGTGATTTGAAGTCCAAAATTGACTAGATAACTAGCTCTTTAATATCTCATGCATGATTGAAAGACTTGCGAGGATGGTTCCTAATCATGATGCTTGAGAATTGTTTGGAAAGATTGAATTCAATGTGATTACTTAATAAGTATGCTGATGAAAGGTCATTTCTAAACTGGTGAGCGTCCGAGTCAATATCTTCTTTCACTGGTAGCCATATGTTTGTTCCAAGATTATTAAGATCAGGTAAAAGAGTGAAGCTACACATGATATGTCGTATAGTTCTCTAAACCTAGTTTTGTTAACTCAGCTTTGCCTGTGATACATGATATGTGGATGTGCAATGCATGATTGATTCAAACAATCAACAACTGGGAATGTTATCCAAGCAAATTATAAATCTTGTGTTTATTAGAAAACATTTATGATTCATTTTCTTTTCTTTAGGAAAGAGCTTTCAGCAGAAAATGATACACTTCCAAGCATAAAAGTATCTTCTTAGACTAATGGAAAGTGCATTTGGCAACTATGCAATTTGGCAACTATACAAGCAGAATCGATTTGGTTTCAAAAGTCAAGAGTGAAGTAGAGTTTGGAAGGGGATAAGAACACAAGATTTTTTCATCTATGTGCTAGAGGTAGAGGTAGGAGGAACCTTATAAAGTCCCTCAAAGTGGGGAATGAAGTCATTTCGGATCCTAGCAGGATAAAAGCCTCAGTGGTGGATTTTTTTAAGGCTTTGTTTCAGCATGGAAATACTCTGGAGGTTGACGATTTGGATTGGGAATTTCTTAATCTTTCGAATGAGCAAAGTTTGGCTCTTGAAAAGCCATTTTCTGAAGAGGAAATATGGGAAGTAATTGCCAATTCGGATTGTAACAAAGCGCTTGGTCCTGATGGCCTAAATTTAGGCTTTTTTAAGAAATTCTAGTCAAGTTTGAAGGAGGTGTTGTTGCTGTTTTTTAGGGAGTTTTATGAGGGGAAGGATTGGGATATGGAGATTAATCACTCTTTCATTTCTCTTATTCCGAAGAAGGTCAATCCGGAGGGGCTTGATGATTTTAGGCCAATTAGCTTTGTTGGAGGGTTTTATAAAATTCTTTCAAAGGTATAAGTCCGTCTCAATTTGCATTCATCCCGGGGAGACACATTATGGATTGCTCCTTTATTGCAAATGAAGGTATTGACTTTTGGAGGAAGAAAGGATTGAACGGGGTGGTATTTAAGGTGGACTTTAAAAGAGCTTATGATTCGGTGAATTGGGAGATTTTGATGAAAATAATGGGTAAAATGGGATTTGTTACTAGATGGTGCTCATGGATACTTAAATGTGTCAACAGCTTCTATTTCTATTTTAGCAAACGAAAATCCTACAAAGAAAATTCACCATTCAAGAGGTCTAAGGCAGGGCTGTTCACTATCTCCGATGTTTAATTTGGGGGGGAGTTGTTGCATTTACTGTTGGTAAAAGCAGTGGACAAGGGGCTGTTTTCGGGTTTCGAGCTAGGTACTCTAGATCGATCATTCATGCTATCACATTTACAATTCGCGGACGATCTTATAATTTTCAGCAAAGCAACAATTCACGATTTGTTGAATGTTAGGAGGGTGCTGTTCGTTTTTGAGATATTGGTGGGATTGAAGCTGAATTTTACAAAAAGCAGAATATTTGGAATTAATGTTGAGGATGAGGTCCTAGATTCATGGGCTAAGGAGATTGGATGTTCAATGGGTTCTTTTCCTTCGGAATACCTTGGGCTACTATTGGGAGTCAAGAGGAACTCTTTTGCCTTGTGGGAGCCTGTTGTGCAGAAATTCTACAGTACATTGGCTGGTTGGAAGGCTAACACCCTATCGTTGGCTGGAAGGGCTGTTTTGGTTAAATCCGTTTTGGTTAAATCCATTTTGTGTTCTCTCCCCATTTACTTCCTATCTATTTTTCGGATACCAATTAGTGCTTTCAACAAGTTAAACTCTATTATGGCAGGTTTTTTATGGGGAAGTTCGATAGAAAAGAAGAACATTCACTGGTTGAATTGGAAGTCGGTGTGTAAGCCAAAGAAATTGGGAGGTTTAGGGATTTCGAATTTGCTGCTCTTGAATAGGGCTCTTTTGGGGAAATGGGTTTGGAAATTTTCTTCGGAAAAGAATTCTTGGTGGAAAAAAGCGGTCTGCAGTGTGAACAATTTGGATACAAATGCTATGATGATTGGGAATAATTGGACAGTTAGAGCTTTTTGGATTTGGAGAGGAGTTGTTCAAATTTTTTTTTCTACGGATGAATTTGGGGATTGCCTTAGAAAAAAACATGTGTTTGAGAGATGGAAATGGAGAAGTAGTGGAGTTTTGGAATGATACATGGCTGAGCATTGTTCCTCTCAAGGAAAGGTTTCCGAGACTATTTGCATTATCGAATAACAAAAGGGGTAAGGTGGCAGATTTCAGGATGCATAGTAACTCAGGATGGGTGTGGGATATACAAGTGAGAAGGAATTTGGTGGACTGGGAGGTTGACCAATGGTTGCAGCTTATTACATTGTTGAATAGTACCGCTTTCTCATTATTAGAGGAAGATTGTTGGATATGGTTAGGTAATGGTGAGGACTGTTTTTCAGCTAAATCGTGTATCAAAAAGTTTTATGATCAGGAGGGTAATGAGGGAGAGGAGGGTAATTGGGAGAGGCATGTTTGGGCAGGGGTTGCTCCTCCACGTGTAGAAGCTTTTGTTTGGCAAGTTGCACATCAAATAGTTGCAGTGAAGGAGCTGTCGAAGAGAGGAGTGACTGGGATTGAGGACCTTTTATGCCCGATGTGTGGGAAGGGGGAGGAGTCGTTCTCACATCTGTTTTTGCATTGTGAGGTGGTTTGGGTTCTGTGGTCTAGATTTTTGAGGGGCTGGAATGTTTCTTTTGTGGTTCCTAAGAAGGTGATTGACTTCTTAATTTTGTGGGATGAGTTAATTCCGAGATCTACTATTTGGAAATTCATTCCTAGGGCGGTGTTGTGGTCGGTTTGGAAATGTAGGAACGAGATTATTTTCAGAAAGGGAAAGTGGATTCTGCTCTGCTGTTCTTTCTTTCTAGATTTAGAACTGCTTCTTGGTTTGGGGTGAGATTCAAGGATATTAATATTCCTTTTGACTCTCTAGTTGGGGATTTAAAATTGGCAGACTCGATTGGAAGACAGAATCAGAGGTGTGATCCTACTTCTAGGTGGATACCTTCGCCAGAAGGTTTCATTAAACTTAATATTGATGGGGAAATGGTAAAGGGATGGGACAAAGGAGGAATTGGAGGTCTGATTAGGGATGATAGAGGTTTGAAACTAGGAATATTCTCTGAAAAAATTGGAGGAGGTTCGCCTATTCTTGCAGAGCTGTTGGCGATCAAAAGAGGTTGCAGTCTCATCGAGGAGTTAGGATCTTTTCCAACTCAGAGGATTATTTTGGAGTCAGACTTGACTACAACCCTAAAGTGGATTAAAAATCCAGACTTATGTACCCCGTTGTTTCAGTCGTTGGTAAGAGGCGTAGCTAATTATGTGGAAGGAAAGGGCATCATTTTAAGACATATTGTGAGAGCTGCTAACTGGGAAGCAGATGAGTTAGCAAAAGCTGGTATAGGATGATCTGTGGTTATGAGTTATTGTTTTTAGGATGTGGTGTCTATTCAGTTTTTTAAGGAGTATGGTTTTAGTGCTGCAGTTTGTGTTTAGGTTGTTAAGTCTTATGTTTTTAGCAGACTATGGTTATGGATTGGTTGTATGTTATGTTCCAGATTAATATAATTCAGAGGCGCTCTTTTCCTCCTTCCTATGTCCTTCGTGTTACTTATATAACATGTAGGATATGAAGGGGTTTTTAATGAGGCCTATATTCTATCAAAAAAAAAAAGTGCACTAATTTTATTATATTTTTCTTTTAAAGAGAATTAATTTCATCAATGTTTTTGTTCCTTCTCTGAAATTTTATCTACTTTTCCTTGCATTCTTCTTTTTTTAAATCATAATTGCAAATCATTATTTATTTATTTAATTAAATCCTTTTGCAACAGATATTCCAGGCTCACACGGATGAAGTATGGTTTTTGAAATTTTCGCATAACGGGAAATACTTAGCTTCGTCATCAAATGATCAGTCAGCAATCATTTGGGAGGTATTGCTATTAATTTGGAACAAGAGTAACATATATCCTTGATTTGTCATTAACTTTTTTAAATTGCAACTTATAGTATAAATTTTATTTGCATTTTCAACTCTGTTCTTCATACCTGACTGCAGAAATGAGCTCGGTAATTTTTATGTAGCTTCAACTAAGTCTAGTAACGTTTCTTAGCTTGTCGGATGCTTAATGTTCAATCTCTAGCATCTTTCGTAATACCTTTGTTCATTCTAATCAAATATATTTTTTCTCTTTCTCAATTTTATGGAGTTGGAAAGCAAATAACAAAGAACAAATAGAAAAAGCATTTTGCCAAATGGAACCTTAGTAACAAGTACCCTGGAAAAGAGGTGCTTTCTGTGATGGTGCACTTCATTGAACCCCTTCCCCCCAACAATCCTTTTCATTTTGGCAATGTACTTAGCATTTAGTATTTTCAAAGACCAGTCACTCCACTTTTTTCAATTTCTAATTCTTCCACAATGAAAGAGTTTTTGTGATTAAAACTCTCTTGGTTGGAATTCGAGTTTCAAGCAAACAAGGGCTTGTGTTATTGTGTCAATGTGTGACCACTATTTAATGATTGGATCAACTACGGCATGCAATTGGTCGATTTTCTCATTCTAATAATATTGACTCATTGCAGGTTTACGAGACTGGAGTATCTTTAAAACATAATCTCTCTGGTCACCAGAAACCTCTCTCTTCTGTTTCATGGAGTCCTGATGACCGTCAGCTTCTGACATGTGGCTCAGATGAGGTCATAAGGCTCTGGGATGTCTCTTCTGGTGAATGTCTTCATGTTTATGAAAAAACGGGTCTTGGTATGGTTTCGTGTGGATGGTCTCCAGATGGAAAATGGATAGTTTCGGGTCTGAACGATAAGAGTATCTGCATGTGGGAATTGGATGGGAAAGAGCTAGAGTGCTGGAAAGGGCAACGAACGCTAAAAATTTCTGATTTGGAAATAACCGGTGATGGAAAGCAAATTATTAGTATATGTCGAGAAACAACAATATTATTACTCGATCGGGAAGCAAAAGTTGAGAGATTTATCGAAGAGGATCAACCAATAACTTCATTCTCGTTGTCGAGAGACAGTAGGTTCTTGCTGGTAGATCTTTTAAATCAGGAAATCCATCTATGGAATATAGAAGGTGATCTGAAACTTGTTTCTAAATATAGAGGCCATAAACGCACTCGCTTCATAATTAGGTCTTGTTTTGGTGGCCTTGATGAAGCTTTTATTGCCAGCGGTAGTGAGGACTCACTGGTATGGACTTTTATTTGTTCTATATACCTCTAATAGGAAGTTAGCCTATGATTAATATGGACAGCAGTATCCTCATAATGTGGTTGCTAATAGTGAGTTTAATGAATCAAAATTTATATCAATGTCAATTACCTTTTAACACAATTATGACACGAAAAAATACACCAAGACAAAATTTATACATTGCTGATTTGCCTTGGTAGTTGTTTACCTCTGTATGATATCTATATCTCACGGAAAATTCTATACAATATTTATTTTCTGCTGATGGGCTTGATATTATAAAAGCCATGCATGTGTTGGCAGACTGTTGTCTGCAGAGCATTAGATACAAGTGTCGATGGGGGTATGTTAATTTTTGTTCTCTAAAGTTTTAGATGTATATGGAAGGTTCTTGGAGTGTCATATCCTCGTGCTTATGTGGATCAGTCATGAGTTTTTCAAGGGAAATGTGGAGTCTGTGGTATGGATTGCTAGTGCTGGAATACTGATTAGCAATGTGACATTATACATACACCTTTTCTAACTGTTGTAAACTTGTGTGGAAATTGATTTACTTTTGAAGCACAAAGTAAAATTTGATGTTAAATTATAAGGAATTTGATTTACTTTAGTCCGAGTGAAATTTATTTATTTTGTATGCTTTACTGTATATATGTCTAGGTCTATATTTGGCATAGGACCACGGGGGAGCTTATAGAGTCATTACCAGGTCATTCCGGAGCGGTTAATTGTGTGAGCTGGAATCCGGCAAACCCACACATGTTGGCATCGGCTAGTGATGATCGTACGATTCGTATATGGGGTTTGAATAATCTAAGCACAAGCACAAAGCAGAAAGAACCTCAGAGTAATGGCATCCATTATTGCAATGGAGGAACCTGAGATTGAAATGCATGGAATCTGCAGCGCGAAGCAGAAAGAACTTCACAGTAATGGCATCCATTATTGCAATGGAGGAACCTGGGATCGAAATGCATGGAATCTGCAGTCCATTGATATCTCTGATATAATTGGTTTCATGTAAATACTTTTACCTTGTTGAAAGCTTGACATTCATATGAAAAAGGGAGAAAAAAAAATTTCAGCAGTGCAGCAACTTTCTGATGATAAATTTTCTATTTTTCTTGTTTTAACATAAAATTTATTTCATTACACAGTTATGGGTGAAAATTTGCAGCTTGCTTGAATATCATCAATGCTTGCTCACCTGTGCTTGTTTGCATTTACTTTCTGGTTTTTAACCTGCAGTTTCATGGAATATTAAAGGTTCTGTCTGTAGCTTTTGGTTACTGTAAATAGGTATATTATATGTTGATCAGTTGGGATATTCAATACTATCTCGGATAATAGCCCATGGATTCCTGAAGCATGTTTGAATAAGATTGGCGTGCCACTCATTCCAAGCTTTCTGGCAATACCTGTTCACCATCTTCCGGACCTCATCAAGGTTATTATCTGGGTTGAGTGTAATGTCTTCTGACAGCGAGTTCAACATGTTAGCCACTGCTTTGCCTCTTGTGTGTGCATTCTGAATGATCCCCGTCGAGTGTAAAAGAGCGATCGATGATGTCCTTGAAGAAAATATCGGACCTCACTTCTGCCCAACATGCAAATGTTCGAACGCTATAAGGTTTAAAAACATGGATTCCGTGGCTATGATAACCAGAAGCTAAAGGACCCCTCCACGGAACATAATATCGTAGAGGGTGACGGTTTTACATTTCTTGAAGCAGATTCTCACTTCGTAAAGCTCCTTTGCGGATCTGATGATGTGTTGCCATCTTTGTAGTGTGGGACACGTGGTTTGCGGCACTTGGTTGTCAACGACCATCTAGTATGTCCGGAAGCACTCTTTCGGTAAACTTCCAAGACGAGCAAGCAACTTCCGATGCAGGAGGGAGGTGAACTGGGAGAGCAAAACTTGAGTGCAAGATTGTTGACAAAGTCTTCAATCTGCTTCAGATTAGACGTTAAAGAAACAAAAACTAATAATGATTCAATAAAACTGTCCAAAGACTAGGGACTTCCATTGCTTTCAATAACAACCAAGCTCCTGCAATGGCAATTGATTTTCGAGCATTGGCATATTTCGTTTGATAATATGCATCTTTCCACGTCGGATAATTTCGACCATAATCTTCCATTGTATGGTTAGCAGAGCATAAAATTTCCACCACCATCGAGAATCACCAGCTGCAGAAACTTGTTTGGCTCTAAGAAAATGGAGTGCTCATTGTTTGAGCTCTTCCATCGCCTTCACATGATCTTCGCCTGTAAGCATTCTTGTTGAGGTCAGTGAAGCTGATTGCTATTCTACAGATTCATCACTTCATACAATGCTCCCTTTCTGTTCCAGAATCCACCATGGTCTCCACTTCAACAACCCAGTCGACTTGCCCCATCTCTGTTCAAGTTTTATACTTTAAAGCATGGATGAACTGACAGGGTGTCGGGGAGCGGTCAAACTTTTAGAAATTTCAAATCTAATTTAGATATATTTCCTTGTCTTTTTTATTGATAGTTTAATTTTACACCTCTAAAATTTTACAATTTTAAACCCCTAAAATTTTAATATAAGTTTCTAAGTCTGCACCTCTTATATAAGTTTAAGTTAGCAGTGGCATGTGGTACATAAATTAGGGATCCGTTTATTTCATTGAAAACAAATTTTAAAAAATATTTCTGTAAAATGCATTATATTTTTTTTTTGAAAAACAATTTTTGAAAACTATATAAAGATATATAGATGATATTGTATAAACTATTTATGTATTTGCTACAACCACAACCGGTTTAAGCTTGCAGTTGCATGTTGCAATGACATGTACCTTACGGTTTTTGGTATGTTTTTCGCATACTTCTACGGTCATGTTGGTACTCTCACAAATATCCTCACGAAATTTGTTTTCTGATTGGTTTATCGGTAATCACATATTGTGAGATCTCCTATTTGATAAAAAGTTTGACGATATAATTAGAATTATGTAGCGAAACAACCTGTCAAATTGTTTGGTTTGCTCACCACTCATTTTTTCATTTCGTAAAGCGTCTCGTCCGATAGAGATAAATAGATTTATGATAATTACTGAGTTTTTTTTTATGTTAGATGTTATTCTCAATGAAAGGTTTCATTTTTTTCGTATCTTTGGATTTAATATTTTTATTTTATGTATGAATTTTTTGGTGACGACTGTCTCATATTTTCCTCTATGTTTGGGTGTGTTTTAATTTCTTTTATTATTTTTATTAATGAAATCTAGTTGTCATTATTAAAAAATAATTTAATCTACGATAAAGTTATAAACCAAAAAGGCTTAAAAGCTTGTCCCCATAACAAGGCATCAAATACAATACATCAGACAAATGCTTGTTGATTCTATAACAATGTTTCTTACCTAAGATATCTTTTTCTCTCTCTAAATTTCAGCTATTTAACTACTAATTAACCTGAAAATAGTATCAAAACTGACACAGCCAGATGAGAAAAAGATGATATGATTAATTTCTTAAAATACTTAAATTTTTTATTAACTTAACGTTATGAATTAAGTAATACTAATTTAGTTTAACGATGTCAAGTTAATATTTTGTTTTAAATATATATGTTTTCTTATTTAAAAATGCTTTGAATAATATGTTAAAAAATAAGCAGCTGCTCTGTCGAAACAATTAAGCATCCACCTAGTTATGTTATAACCACCTTACCATAAATAATAATTATTTTACTAAAAAATATCATATTTATATGTTATATTTTTTGCATCTTCTCCAAAATAATTTGTCTCATTCTATTTTATTATTTCATAATTAAATTATTTAAAAACAAAAACCATCATTTTCTTTATTGCCTTCATAGATACAAAGAGAAAATTCCATATGTACAGTGTTTTAACGAGAAAACCAACTCAAATCATGATGGAGGGCGAGTCTCATAAACAAAAATGATGTCTCTCAGAAATTCTCGGATTTGCTCGAGTTGTTGGCTTCAAATGATCTGATTGGCTTCAAATTCGCCATTGGGGAAAAGGGTCTTGACATTGATGAGCCAAGCCTGTGGTATGAAAGGAGAGTAGGTTCAAAAAAGATGGGGTTTCAAGAAAGAATACCCCTTTTGATTGCTTCGATTTTCGGATGCAAGGATGTGGTGAATTATATCGTCAAAAGCAGTTGTGTTGACGTTAATAGGTCTTGTGGTTCTGATGGAGCCACCGCTCTCCACTGTGCTGCTACTGGTGGCTCCTCTCATTCAGTCGAGGTTGTTAAAATCTTGCTTGACGCTTCTGCCGATACGAATTCTATTGATGCTAATGGAAATCGACCTGTTGATTTGACTGCTTCGGCTTGTTGTAACTCGGATTTCAACTCCAAAAAAAAGATATTGCAGACTTTGCTGAAATGAGGTGGTAGTGTTGATGAAAGAGAGGGTCTAACCAGGGTTTCAAATCGCGGTCGCGGTCGTGTTTTCGTTTATTTTGGATTTACCGTGATTACGGCCGTCGCAGGCGCTATTGCGGCCGTCGCGGGTAATTCGGAGGGCGGCGAAACTGTTATATCGCGGCCGAAATCTCGGTCGCGGACCGTTTTTTAAAACCCTGGGTCTAACAGCTCAAGTAGGGAATGAGATAGAAGGGTTAGAGCAGCAAGTAGATTCAGCTCCCCGAGCTTGGAAAGATGGAAATGAGAAGAAAGATTATCCCTACGATCTTTCTCTTCCCGACATTAAGAGCGGGATACATGGGACAAACGAGTTTAGGATGTATACTTTCAAGGTCCAATCTTGCTCAAGGGCTTACTCTCATGACTGGACCGAGTGCCCATTTGTTCATCCGGGGGAAAATGCAAGGAGCCGTGATCCTAGGAAGTATCTTTATAGTTGTGTCCCTTGCCTCGAAATTCGTAAGGGATCGTGCAAGCAAGGCTATAACTGTGAATATTCACATGGTATTTTTGAGTCTTTGCTTCATCTTGCCCAGAATCGAACTCGTCTATGCAAGGATGAGACCGATTGCACCAGAAGGGTTAGTTTCTTTGCTCACAAGCAAGAGGAGCTTCGTCTTTTGTATGCTTCGACAGGTTCAGCTTTGCCTTCTCCTAGATCATATGCAGCTAGTCTTTAATATGGTTCGATAAGCCCACTTGCTCCTACCTCTCCATCAGTTATAAAGCCTTCGACATCAACATCTCCCTTGACTCCCCCTAGGACCTCTTCTATCGCTGGAGGGATGTGGCCGAACCAGTCTAGCATCATACCTCCTACCTTGCAACTTCCTAATAGGTTGAAAGCTGCTCAAAGCGCTCGGGGTAAGGATTTAAACATACAAATGCTTAGTTTGGAACGTCAACATCGCCACCAACAACAGCAACAGCAACTAATTGACGAGATATCCAGTGAATTAAATAGGTATAGAGGGGTGAAGCCGAATAACCTTAAGGATATTTTTGGATCTCTTGATACTACTAGGCCCCCGTTGCGAGGATTTTCACTCGAGACTGCTTCTGCTCAATTGCAATCACAGATTGGAGTTCAAATGTGCTCGAATATAAACCAGAAGCTCCATGCTAGTTACCCGATGAACCTAGCATCCTCTCTTATAATGACATCTCCATCCTTTGGGGTCGAACCATCCGGAATAACTCCAACATCGATTTTAAGTTCGAAGTGGACCACAGGTGTTATCAAGCGTCCTACTATAAACCGTCATTCAGGGTATTCTACACCAATATCGCCAGTGGGTGTTCTGCCTCATAACCTCTCAGATTGGTGTTACTAGACTGGGGTATACAAGGAGAAGAACTAAAAACCTAAGAAAATCTGCTTCTCTCGTATTCCTAAACAATGGCAACAATTTGGCAAATTCAACACTCTCAAATGCCATTAATCGGTGATGAACCAGAAGTGTCTCGGGTCTAGTCTCATATGAACACCATCCCTTCTGTCGAGCAATTTAGACTCAAGGACCAGTCGCAACAGCAATGTCATAACAATGGGGTTCCAGGTATGCTCATTGCTTGGATGGAACAATTGTACAAGGACCAGGATTAGTTCATTACTTAAAAGCAAACTTAACTCCTTTAGGAGAAAAAATA